AATGATATATATATATATACACATATATATAATTTTATGTTGTGAAGAGTTCATTGCCTGGACTTTGTGACAATACAAACTTACATTGGACAGATCTTTTTTATTCTAATAAGGGGAAGGACAACAGTACAAAGGGCAATCCAAGGTAGAATTCCAGTCTTTATTCACCCATGCAGTTTCCTCTACTGCCACATTTATATGTCAATTTATGTTTACAATTCAATACTTCCCAGAGGTTACCATTCTCTTGTCCACTGTAATATTTGGAAGCAATTTCCCTACTTCTGAGAATGTAATCTCTTTCATGTCTCCTATGTTGGATTGAAGACATTTTCCAACTCAGCAAACCTTCGTCTCCTTAGCGAAGTGTAGACAGAAATTGTATGTATTTAAAGGATGCAAGCAATATGTGTCTTCATTGTGTAGTGATTATCACATCCATCATACTTCATGCTATACATTAGAGCCACATTTTCAAAATATGAAAAAAAACCCTTTCATTTGAAGAAAACTGTCCACAAAAGTAGATAGAAACTCCTTGAAAAACATAAATGATGAACTCATGGTGGACAAAATACCTGACACCCACCATTTAAAGGAAGAGCACTTTATTTTATTTCAGAGGGTCAGTCCATGGTTAGCTGGGTCCAAAGCAGAAATGTCATGACAGAGGGATGTGGCAGAGTAAGGTTGCTTACTTTACCAGGCCAAGAAGTAAAGCAGAAAAACAGTGGCCAGAGAGATGAGCAGTGGCCAGAAAAAATCACCAAGCATCACAGTTCCGTGCCCCAGTTCTTGCCAATTAATAGAGGATTCTTTTGCTCCACTCCAGTTGAAATCACATAGTACAGCTCTGCTAACAGCTTCAGATTGCCAGTGCCAGAGGCTCCCAGCATTAGTGTTACAACCCTGGGGCTTTTAGCCACCCCATTAGATCCTCAAAAGCTAAGGCTAATCCAAATCTTTCACCAGCTTCCACTGACCTCTGCTGATCTCTGACCAGGTGGCAATCACTGCTAGTTGTTGCTGATGCTTAAAACCAGTTGCTGATCCCAGCCACTGCTGTTTTTTCTCTCCTGATGCTGTGGATTAACAGTGGTCACTGTCAGCACCACCAGTCTCTGCCCTTGCTGTTTGGAATCTGTTAGTGCCAGTCACCCTGGATCAACACTGTCAGTTTCTGCTTGTCTCTGCCTTTCCTCTCTGGAGCTCTTCAAGGTTAGCAGCTCCTAGTGACTTTAACTCATTTTTAAAGTGACCTGTTCAAGCGAGACTTTGGAGTAGATTTACTGGGTCTTTTGAGCCCACACTACCAAGGCAATAAATCACAAACAGATCTGAAGCGAGCATCAGAGCAAGACTTTACTTGGACTGGGCTTATGCTGCAGCACAAGGGTCAGAACAGCAGAGGGAGTGAGGGGGGAAAACCAGAGGCGTGCAGCCCAGCTCAGCTTACACAGAGCAACGGAAGCACACATGAGCAGATGTTTTACATTTTGTGGGCCTATGACTGGTGCTGGTGCAATCCTGCCAGGGTGTCATCCGGGCCTGGTCCATGTTTAATCCTGTTGTGGTCAAGGCAGATACTCTTGGACCAGATGCAGGATGTCTCGATGGCCACAAGTGTCACTGCAGCAGTTTGGTGGGAATCCAATAATTGGCTTGATTGACAGTAGCTGCTGCTTCTTGGAAGTCTTTTGGCGGGCTGACCATGTTGATCATGGCGTTTGGGGGCCTGGAGATTTGGGGGATAACTACAGAGTGCCCTTCCACGTGTTCATTTTATCAATGGGAGTTTCGTGGCAGCTCCTCATAGCGGCTGGGCTAAAGGCATCTTGGGAGTCAGACCCTCCCTCCCTTCCCCTTCACAGCAGCTTGGAGGACAGCCAGGAAGTGAGCTCAGAGGTGGAAGAAGACACTTGGCTAAGTTATAAAGTTCGACATTAAGGGGCAGGAAGAGCTAGAGGGAGTGAAGCACAGGGGTGTGACAACTGTCTGTTGGAAAATTCCCCTCCTCTGGCTAGCAGCAAGATAGAGGAAGAGGGCCAATTCTCCCTGTCTCACACCCAGACACACCCAGAAAACCTTTTCACTAATTCCTTGGACATCTCCCAAGCAAATCAAGTTGACATTTAAGTTTGGTTGTCACATCATTCCTGTAAAAAAAATTCATCAAATACACATGTATTCATTCACACAGAGATACACATGCTTACAAAGAGAAACACATAAGCTTCAATGAAATTCAGACACATAGATCCTGAGTGAGCTTGTTTTGGCATCTACAGAAAAGCAACCATAGAAAGTCTTGTAGGTTGTGGTGAAAATTAAATGAAACAATACATATAAATTGTTTTAAGCAATATGATATAGTGTGACTCAAACGTTGAAAAAATTTTCCTGTTTATTCTATTCTATTCTATTCTATTCTATTCTATTCTATTCTATT